AGTCATTTTAAAAAAAGAATTAGTATGAATATTTTTATATCATTCCTTTTGAATTTAGACAATTATTTAAGATTTTCTTGTTAATTGTAAAGTGTCTTCGGACACGGGTAATAACTAGTATATATATTTACTAGTTATTACCCGTGCCTGAAGTCACTCTTAACACAAAAAATTTGTCAAGCAAATGGGGCATCCAGGAATGTCTTAAAATAAAGAAGTCCAAGCATTGAAATAAAAAAAAATATATTATATTAATACAATTTAAAAATCCCTATAAAATTAAATTAATACCATTACAAAATTATCCAGTCATATATTTATTCATGGCGGCTCTTCTTTCCAATGAGTTTTCATTTTCCAGCCTCTTATTAAATATAATGAATAGGTTTTCTAGTTCAAATTGAATTACAAATCAAATTTTCAAAAAATAGAAAAAATACCCAACTTAACAATATTGTCCAGTGAATCTGCTCGTAGTTATAAGGACAATTGATTTAAATTATTTACTACTATGACTTCTTGGATGCTACAGAATATTCTCATGTCATAATTAAACTAAAACAACAAAATCAAAATTTTATTACTTAAAAAAAATTGATTTAACTGACTTTTTATCGTTTTAGTATCTATTTTAAATTATTCAAGTATTTAAAAAATATGAACATTAGCAAGGAGAAAGCGATGCAAATAAGGAAAAAAATTGATGGTTGGTTTAGAATATTGTTTTTTTTGTGCATAGTTTTTTAATTTTTTTTGGTGCAATAGATATCGTTTGTTATTTTTTTTATTAGTGATTTGCTTGATTTTGAATTTTTTTTGGTGCAATTGAACACTTGTTATTTTTTATTGATGATTAACTTGACTTTCATTTATTTTTTTATTTTTTTTGGTGCAATTGGTAACACTTGTTATTTTTTATTGGTAATTAACTTGACTTTTAAATTTTTTTATTGGTAATTAGTTTGGCTTTTAAATATCTACAACCTGAGAATTTTTTCATCTATAAAATCATACAAATATTTTGTGCAAATAAATCTAATTAGGATCGTCAAGACAAACAAATAATACTAAAAGAGAAAGTGCGAGATAATATTGTTTGTTTTAAGGATCCTAATTTGACTTTCATTTTATCTCATATATATATATATATAGAGAGAGAGAGAGAATATAAGAGATGAGAGAGTGTGCATTTAAAATGTCTGTGAGAGAGAGGAAGAAAGTTATATACGTGTGAGAGTTGTTTATAAAAATAGAGAGTTATATTAGAGATGAGAGTGTTAGAGTTTTAAAAGAAATGAAAGTTTAATTAGAATTGTCGGATAAATAATTCTCAAACAATTTGAGCCGCAAAAATCTCAAAACAAATAAATTTAGCTATTTTATTACATATATTTTAAACTACACATTTAAACGGTTTTTGGCAAACCATTGTTTGCCAAAAAAAAAATAAAAATAAAAATGTCTTAAAGAGTTAAATTAAAATATAAAATATGATTTTTTTTTGGGAGGACCAGACCATTGTTTGAGATTACAAGAGAAAAGAAAAAGTGATACTACTGACTCTGGGTAAAGAAATGATATGTTATTTGCCCGTAGTATAAAAAGTCCGCTAATTGTTCCATTGTCAAAAAAAAAAAAAAATGCTTTTAGACTATAATACCACACTGTTTACCGAATCCTCCTGTCACAGGACAACAGATTGTGACCGTTGGGCCCCCTGACTTAAATCATTATCCATCTCGTACTGTGATGAGTCTCGGTCACGGGCGTCTGATGTAGACAATCACTTCGACCACCAAGACGCGAGGGACCTCAAACCACGGGCGTCTGTTGAGTTTGAGAAAAATAGCCTAAAAAATTTTCAAATTTTATGTTTAAATTAAAAATTTTATTTCAAATTTTCAAACCTGGCATGCAGTTGACCTAAATATTAAATTCATAATCATGAATTTTGTCAAACTCAAGAGATAGTAGTTTGAGAAGATAGATTAAGGGGTTAAAGATACAAAAGACAATTGTATTCCTTAATAGAAATATGAATTGAATTGATCAAGGTAAAATAGTTAAAAGCAAAAGCAAAATTGATATTGCTAAAGTGGCAAAAGCAAAATTGGTTTCTGCCTTAAAAGCAAAGAGTACTTGAATACTTGAGCACTTGAGCTTGATTTGTCCTACAATGGTAACATGATCATGGACCCCAAAGCCAAGGCTTCTTATTCCGCTTGCTTTCTTAGACTAGTCTTCTTATTTCATGGGAACTTCCAGTCGTACCTAAATAAAAGAATAATGCTATTGAAGCCTAATAATTTATTAACTTAATAATGTGTTAAGTGATAAAGACTAAATGGAAAAATTCAACAGTTAAAATTATAATCATGATATTGGATCATATTACAATCACATTATTAGGTTAACAGATAAGGTCAGATTTTTAAGTCGCGATAGTATTTCTCTAAATAAGATGATCATGTAATTTTGAGTGATTAGGGGTGAATCCTTTGAACTTTCCATATCTTTAGGGGGTACTTAAAAAAATGAAAGAACCTTGGGGTTGATCTCTTTATAGAGTAATGATATTTTGATCTAAAAATTTGATATCATTTATCAATTTAATGATGTAATTTCAATGAAACTATTGGATCAAAATAATACTATAAAATTCAAAAAAGTTGTAACCTAAATGCATATTCTCTCTTGGATGAGTGGGTTCTATTTAAGTTTTACAGTAGAACCCACTCACCCAACCCTCATCTAAGAGATGATATGCATTTGAGTTTTAACTTTTGAGTTTGATTTGAGTTGTGTAACATTTTTTATTGGATTAATACTAAATTTTAATGTTTGATATGACCTACAATCAATTCAAATGTTATAACAAATTAAATTAACAAAAGGTTAGTAAATTAGATTTCAATAGCATTGTTCCCTTTTATAACTACAAGGATCATTTAATCAATATTATATATTACTAATATCTCCAAGGGAGCTGCTGTGCCCCCAGGTGCTCCTGCATCCTTCATTTATTGCATTGATATTTTTCTTACTAAATAGAAAACAATCAAATGTTTTTGGCATAATCAACCATATTTTGTACGATTAATGTATCATATGATCTATCTTTTTTTCACTCTTTCACTTTTAACTTGGAGCTTAGGGCTCAATAGCAAATGATATTGATTTTCATGTTCTTCCTTTTTTACTTCATTGTGATAGTCTTGATTTCACTGCACTAATAATTCATTTGTATTTTGTTATAATAATACATTATACTTGTAATAGTTGAAAATCCCCATATTCGATTAAGCAAGATTTTGATGATAAGAAATTCTTTTTATTAACAAATTACTTTGGTTTTTTATTTTTAAATATGAAGTGCTATACATGTATGATGGAAATTTTTAGATAGGTGATGTACTAAATTGGTTACAAAGAATCAAAGTAAATGAAACTAATGTGACTAAATTGAAACATAAGAAAGTGGATGTAAAATCTCTTGGACTAAAATATTATTATTTTTGATCAACTTTGAGTCTAAATTATGAATTCGATTTCTCTTTTCCTCTTGAATTATTGAATTTTTATACTGCCCATCAAATACTTAAATTATTTTACATTGGCTTAATTATACACATCCGCTATCCTTTTAGATGAAAATTACTAATATTTTGAAAAAACTTTAAGTTAAATATGTAAGAGGCATTAATAATTGAGACAATGTAAAATTAATCATATAGTTGAAGGTGATGTGAAAAAATGATAATTAACTATGTTATATGAAAAAAGAAGACTAAGACACCGACTTTGGTAGTGTACCAAAATCTTACAACTTTTTATGGTCAAATTATAATTTTTTAAAATAGAAGTTACAATTGCAAAAAGTATGATCAATTCTAAATTATTATAATCGATAATGAAAATTATAATTTTTAAAAGTTAAAATTATAACTTTTAAAAGTAAAGTTATAATTGATTATGAGTTATTCATGATCGATCACAACAGTTAGTAATCAATCATGAATCACCTCAAGTAGTTGTAGTTTTATTTTTAAAAGGTATAGCATAATTTCTAAAAATAGTAACTTTCAATACAATATTATTTTTTTCGTAGAATTAGCTATGGAAAAAAAAAATCATAGTTGAGTGAGTAAAAATATAATTTATCCTAAAATGATATACACTCATAATTTTGGATTCTTATATTTGCTTGCTCATCATCTTGATAAATCTCCATTATTTAAATATAAAATATTTAAACCTGCATTGACTACTTATACCAGCTGAATAACGGATAACCATTCCATCATCCAAGATAAAGTTGTGTTTCCTATGGAAGGAGAAAGAAAAATGGAAAGTGCCACCTAGAGGTTGGTCAAAAATCAAAATAGAGCACCGTATTCAAATTTTACTGGATGTTTCTTTTTCCTCGTCAAATAATAAGTCTTATTTAGTAAAGGTTTTAGTTTGTGTAGAATTATTTTTTTTTTTTTTCTAGATATTGACCATTTGTAATGTTTTCAAAAAAAAATAATAAATTTTATTTCAAAATTCTTAGATAATTTTATTTATGCTGATAAAAGTTATTTTTGTTCAAAAAATTGATGAAAAAATCACCTAATAAAGTTTAAATCCAAACAAATCAGGCTTCGTTTTCTTTGAAATTAACAATATTTGAGATTTTTAGTCTTCAAACATGCCCAATATATAAGTTATATTGTATTAAAATTTATTCAATTTATAATGAGTTTATTTGTATTTATTATGTGTTAATTTATTTTTTAATAAATTTAATGGGTCCGTTCGTTTTTCATTCGAATATTTTAAGTTTAACCCAAATTCATTCCATTTCACAAAAAAAAAAAAAAAACCAAATTCATTAATTTTATGTGGACATTCACATATGTAATTCTAAGTTCGGAGGATGGAACCCACTGATTTTAATTAGAGTGTAGACCCCACTGAATTTTACTATAAGTACGCAACACCAGAGGATAGGAGTGGGCGGAGAGAGAGAGGGAGAGAGATGTCGAAGTTGTTCCTAAAACAAGCGGACCAGTACTTAGCGGAGCAGTACTTGGTGGGTCGGCCAAGTTATCCAGAGGAACTCTTCCGATTCATCGCGTCGAAGACACCCAATCATGATCTTGCATGGGATGTGGGCACCGGCAGTGGTCAGGCTGCAAAAACTGTGAGTCTCTCTCTCTATCTCTCTAGGTATGTATATGTGTATAGAAGTGCGCCGACTATTCTCTTAACTCAATTCCTTAAACTGGTAATGGTGACTAATCCTCAGAGGTATATGAATGAATTGAACTTGAAATCGCTTGATTATCAAAGTTCAAACTTAAGCTCTGAAGCAACCAAAATCGCATTTGTGCTTCGTATTAGGACACCAATAGTCAAAGCTTGTTGGGTAGCATTTCATCATTAGATGTAACAGTCACTTCAACAAAAATTGTGCCTAATACTTAAGTCTTTTTTGTGATCTGAAAGTTCACCCATTAAAGATCCCTGTCCTGCCCATCCGGGGTATACGTTTTTTTTGGTAAGTTTGAGAAATTTGATTGGATGAAATCATGTTTTGTGGTGAAAAATTCTAGGAATTTACAAAATAAGGAGAGATGAGTTTGATTGTTGTATGTTAAGATATGCACATATGGAGTTGACTAAATTGATATGATGTTGAAAATTCAACAGATGAAATGGAAAGTTGAGGACATGAAGTGAGGATTCATGTGTACCCCCAAAAAATTAACATGTGGATGTGGAACTCTTTAAGTTCATCTGAAAATAAGTATGACATTATTTGGAAAAAGATAACAAAATGGCGAAATATGATTCTTATAGTTAATCCTAAAAAAAAACCGAGATAGGATTTTGTTCAGTGGAGTCGGGTTGATTATTTGGAAAGGGATATCTTTGGACAAATACTTCATGAACTCATTTTTGTGACATGACCCAGAGGTCCACTAAGGGGATTTGGGTTCTCTTCCAATAGAACGTTTTCCAATTTATTGCAATACTAGATCATCCACAGTATACTTGAATACTAGCATTCGATCGCACGGGCCATGACCTTCTGCCTCAATCCCCTTCTTTATTGATGTATTGAGACTTCATCATCTAATACATCATAATGTGAGTTAGGTTAGATCATTAGGGGTAAATAGCATCAATTCAACATTAAATCATCCGTTGTGAATTGGAGTATGACCCACTATGTATAAGTGGTCGCCCACCAATTACCAGGAGGTTATTTACTATCGAGTAAAATTGAGAAGTGAATTGGAGGGGTTTGGAATGTAACATAATTTTCTTTGCTTGTTTTGCTACATGAATGTTTGAAACAGTTAGCTGGGATATACAAGAAGATCATAGCCACTGACATTAGTCCAAAGCAACTGGAATTTGCACCTAAGCTCCCAAACATTCAATATCAGTGTACCCCTCCCAACTTGTCCATGGCTGATCTAGAACAAGTTGCAGCACAAGGAAGTGTTGATTTAGTGGCCATAGCTCAAGCCATGCACTGGTTTGATCTCCCTACCTTCTATCAACAAGTGAAGTGGATACTCAAGAAGCCTCATGGAGTGATTGCTGCATGGTGCTACACATCACCCGAGGTCAATGACCGCGTTGACTCTGTCTTCCAACCCTTCTACACCATTGATACTGAGCCTTTCTTTGAGCTGGAGCGTAAATTGGTGGATGAAAAGTACACGAGCATCGATTTCCCATTCGAGCCAGTGGACGGATTGGAGGGCACGGGGCCATTTGAGTTCAAAACAGAGAGGTTGATGGATCTTGATGGCTATTTTACATACTTAAGATCATGGTCTGCATATCAAATTGCAAAAGGGAAGGGTGTGGAGCTGTTGAGTGATGAGGTTACAGAGAAGTTTAAGAGTGCATGGAGTGAAGATGGCAATGGCCAAAAGGTTGTGAAGTTTCCTATTTACTTAAGGATTGGGAGAGTGGGAAGTCTCAATTAAGGAAGAAACTTGGCCTGCATGAAATTAGTCATTTACATTGATGTAAAACAACTTTGTTTGCATATGTAAAACTAGTTGTTGGATTTCATGAATAAAATGGTTATAACCTTTCACCTGGATTCTAATATAGCTCCACGTATTGATGGACTTGTACCTCATATTGCAATATTTCCCTAGCTAGCCAGCCACTCCTGAACTCAAATATTACTTAATTCAGGAATCAAAGAGCTAATGTTTGATAGGACACACAATCAATCAAAATATCATAGTAAATTAAGTCAATAAAATATCAACAAACTATGTCACAATAGCATTGCTCCTTTTTATAACTACAAGGATCATTTAATCAATATTATATATTACTAATCTCTCCAAGGTAGCTGTTGTCCCCCTAGGTGCTCCTGCATCCTTCATTTATTGCATTGATATTTTTCTTACTAAATAGGAAGCAATCAAATGTTTTTTGGCACAATCAAACATATTTTGTACGATTAATGGATCATATGATCTATGTTTTTTTTTTCACTCTTTCACTTTTAACTTGGAGCTTAGGGGTCAATATCATTGCTATTGATTTTCATGTTCTTCTTTAAAGTGTTATTATGTTATATTTAAGGCTTGTTTTTTACTTCATTGTGACAGTTTTGATTTCATTGCAATAGTAATTCATTGTTATAATAATACATTATACTTGTAATAATTGAAAATCTCCATATTCGATTAAGCAAGATTTTGATGATAAGAAAGTCTTTTGATTAACAAATTATTTTTGTTTTTTTTTAAAATATGAAGTGCTATACATGTTTGATGGAAATTTTTAGATAGGCGATGACTAAATTGGTTACCAACAATCAAAGTAAATGAAAATAATGTGACTAAATTGAAACATAAGAAATTGGATGTAAAATCTCTTGGACTAAAATATTTTGCTTTTGATCAACTTCGAGTCTAAATTATGGACTTGATTTTTTTTTTTTTGCCCTCGAGTTATTGTATTTTTATATTGCCCCCTCCACTACTTGACTTATTTTACATGGGCTTAATTATACACACCCTCTATCTTATAGATAAAAAATTGCTAATATTTTAAGGCAATGTGAAAAAAAATTACATAGTCTAAGTGATAAAATGAAAAAACTTTAAGTTAAATATGTAAGAGCCATTAATAATTGAGACGATGTGAAATTAATCGTATAGTTGAGGGTGATGTGAAAAACATGATAATTGACCAAGTACTATGAAAAAAGAAGACTAAAACACCGACTTCGGTAGTGTATCAAAATTTTACAATTTTTTAAGGTCAAGTTACAATTTTTTGGAGTAGAAGTTACAACTGTAAAAAATATGATCAATCAATGAAAGGGCTGGCTAGTGTAGCAAGACCTGGTTCATAGTCGAGTGAGAGAAATGAAAGACTATGGAGAAAAGCAGATGAAGATAGAAAGTATCTACTCCTTGAACTGCTCATCGTGCTACTAGAACTACTCGATCAACGACAACTCATTGTGGGGGGGGGGGGGGTGTTATGACTAAAAAAAAGGGTTTGTTCTCCTAACGTTTTTTAGTAATATCCTGTGATCTAAAATGTGCTGTCGAAATATAGCACTACAAGTAGTTGTAATTTTATCTTTAAAAGATATAACATAATTTCTAAGTACGGTACCAAATTTTTTTCCCTAGGATTACTTATGGAAAAAAAAATCTTAGTTGTGGGTAAAAATATAATTTATCCTAAAATGATATCCACTCATCATTTTGGATCCTTATATTTGCTTGCTCATCATCTTGATAAATCTCACCATTTAAATATTTTTTTATTACAAAATATTTAAATTTGTGTCGACTACTCATTTAAGTTCAGCAATGGATGACCGTTCATTAGTTCATTTAAAAAACCCATCATCCAACCTAAAGTTGTCTTTCCTGCGTAAGGAGAAAGCAAATTTGAAAGTGCCACCTAGAGGTTGGTCAAAATAGAGCACCCTTTTTAAATTTTACTTGAGGTGGCTTCCTTGATGTTTCTTTTGCCTCGTCAATTAAGAAGTCTTTTGTTTAGTGTAAAGGTTTTAGTATGCGTAGAATTATTTTTTATTTGAGTTAATTGTATTAGAGATCCCTAAAATATGAAATTTGTCTTATTTTAATTCTTAATATTTTAATTGCATTATTTTAGTACCTGAAGTATTGAATATATTTCTATATGGTTCCTCAAACAGATAGTGTCTAGATTGTTAACGATTTTTTATCATAAATTTTTCACATAATACCTAAATATAGACAAAAAAATAATTTTAATAGCTCTTAAACAAAATTTGGGTAACGCTTAACAAAAAAATGTGTAATATGTGTAATTTTTGACCAAAATTTGGATAACTCATGATCAAAATTGTGTAATTTAGATAGTTATTTAACAAAATTTTAGTAAAAATTTAGTCAAGAGTTATTCAAATTATTTTTTGTCCATATTTGAGTATTACGTAATAAGTTTATGATAAAAAAATTATTAGCAATTTAATGTTATTTGCTTAAGAAACCATATAGAAACATATTTAATACTTTAGGGACCAAAATAATGCAATTGAAACATTGAAGACTAAAATGAGACAAATTTCATACTTTAGGAACTTCCAATTTAATTAACCCTTTTTATTTTTTTTGGATATTGACGTTCTAAAATCCATCTCCATGTCTAGTTGTCAAACGAGAGTTCAAAAGACAAATAAAAGTTAAAAAAATTTTGAGACCATTTATAATACTTTTAAAAAAAAATTAGCTTTTATTTGAAAATTCTTAGATAAGTTTTATTTTTTAATTTTTTTTTAGTGTTGATAAAAATTATTTTTACCTAAAAAATTGATGAAAAAATTGCCTAATAAAGTTTAAATCTAAACAAATCAGGCATCTTTTTATCTGAAATTAAAAATAGTTGAGATTTTCGGCCTCCAAACATGCCTAATATATAAGTTGTTTTGTATTAAAATTTATTTAATTTATAATGAGTTTATTTGTATTTATTATGTGTTAATTTATTTTTTAATAAATTTAATGGATCCGTTCGTTTTTCATTAGAATATTTTAAGTTTAACCCAAATTCATTCCATTTCACAAATTCATTAATTTTATGTGGACGTTGTATGACGAATTCACATATGTAATCCTAAGTTCCAAGGATGGACCCCACTGAATTTTAATATAGTGTAGACCCCACTGAATTTTATTATAAGTACGCAACACCAAAGTATAGGAGTGGGTGGAGAGGGAGAGAGAGAGAGAGAGATGGCAAAGTTGTTCCTAAAACAAGCAGAGCAGTACTTGGTGGGTCGGCCGAGTTATCCAGTGGAACTCTTCCGATTCATCGCGTCGAAGACACCCAATCATGATCTTGCATGGGATGTGGGCACCGGCAGTGGTCAGGCTGCAAAAACTGTGAGTCTCTCTCTCTCTCTCTCTCTCCAGGAATGTATATGTAAATGATGTCACGCGTTTTAAGGTATTTGAATGTAAAAATCAGAAACCCAATGGTTTAAGACTCCTATTTTTCCCTAAACAAAATCTCCAAAATATACTTTTTTGCTTGATGATGGTATTGAAAACCCAGAATAGCATTTTTTTTTTTGTGCACCCGATTATTCTCTTGACTCAGTTTCTTGAGCTGGGTTAGAGAGGAATAAAGGTAGCTAGTCGTTAAAGATGTATAAATGAAGTGATCTTGAGATGCCTTAATTATCAAAGTTCAAACTTAACCTCTGCACCAATCAAAATCGCATTTGTGCTTCGTATTAGGAAACCAATAGTCAAAGCTTGTTGGGTAGCATTTCATCATTAGATGTAACAATCACTTCAAAAAAAAAAATTTGTGTCTAATACTTTAGTCTTTTTGGTGATCTGAAAGTTCACCCATTAAAGATCCCTGTCCTGCCCATCCGGAGTACACTCTTGTTTTGGTAAGTTTGAGAAATTTGATTGGATGAAATCATGTTTTGTAGTCAAAATTCTAGAAATTTACAAAATAAGGAGAGATGATTTCCCAAGCTTTCTCCTCTAATTTGTTTGTTGTATATGTTTAGGTATCCATGTATGGGGTTGACTAAATTGATATGATGTTGAAAATTTACAAAATAAGGAGAGATGATTTCAACATGTTTAGGTAATATGGAGTTGATTGATATGATGTTGAAAATTCAACAGATGAAATGGAAAGTTGAGGACATGAAGTGAGAATTCATGTCAAATACAGTTATCCCCCAAAAAATTAACACGTGGATGTGGAACTGTTTAAGTTCATCTGAAAATAAGTATGACATCATTTGGAAAAAGATGACGAAATGGCGAAACATGATTCCCGTAGTTAATCCTAAAAAAAACCGAGATAGAATTTTGTTGAGTGGAGTCGGGTTGATTACTTGGAGAGGGACATCTTTGGACAAATACTTCATGAACTCACTTTGTGACATGACCCAGAGATTCCACCAAGGGGGTTTTGAGTTCTCTTCCAATAGAACGTTTTCCAATTTATTGCAATACTAGATCATCCACAGTTTACTTGAATACTAGCATTCGATCTCGTGCGAGGGCCATGACCTGCTCCCCCAATCCCCTTCTTTATTGAGGTATTGAGACTTCATCACCTAATACAACATAATGTGAGTTAGGTTAGATCATTAGGGGCAAATTGCATCAATTCAATATTAAATCATCCATCGTGAATTCGAGTATGACCCACTATGTATAAGTGGTCGCGCACGAATTACCAGGAGATTATTTACTATCGAGTAAAATTGAGAAGTGAATCGGAGGGGCTTGGTATGTAACATAATTTTCTTTGCTTGTTTTGCAACATGAATGTTTGAAACAGTTAGCTGAGATATACAAGAAGGTCATAGCCACTGACACTAGTCCAAAGCAACTGGAATTTGCACCTAAGCTCCCAAACATTCAGTATCAGTGTACCCCTCCCAACATGTCCATGACTGATGTTGAACAAGTTGCAGCAGAAGGAAGTGTTGATTTAGTGGCCATAGCTCAAGCCATGCACTGGTTGGATCTCCCTACCTTCTATCAACAAGTGAAGTGGATACTCAAGAAGCCTCATGGGGTGATTGCTGCATGGTGCTACACAACACCTGAGGTCAATGACCGCGTTGACTCTGTCTTTCAACCCTATTACACCGTTGATGTTGAGCCTTACTGGGAACCGGAGCGTAAAATGGTGGATGACAAGTACACGAACATCGATTTCCCATTTGAGCCCGTTGACGGATTGGAGGGCACGGGGCCATTTGAGTTCAAAACAGAGAGGTTGATGGATCTTGATGGCTATTTTACATACTTAAGATCATGGTCTGCATATCAAACTGCAAAAGTGAAGGGTGTGGAGCTGTTGAGTGATGAGGTTACAGAGAAGTTTAAGAGTGCATGGAGTGAAGATGGCAATGGCCAAAAGGTTGTGAAGTTTCCTATTTACTTAAGGATTGGGAGAGTGGGAAGTCTCAATTAAGTAAGAAACTTGACCTGCATAAAATTAGTCATTTACATTGATGTAAGGCAACTTGGTTTGCATCTGTAAAACTAATTGTTGGATTTCATGAATATAATGATTATAACCTCGATTTTAATATAGCTCTATGTATTGATGGACTTGTGCATCATAATGCAATTTTTCCCTAGCAGGCTAGCCATTCTTGAACTCGGATATTCCTTAATTCAGGAATGAGAGAGCTAACCAACCGATTGACTTTTTTGGTACCTGAAAAATGATTAGGTACATACATTTTGGTCATAATTTGAGGTATTAGGGCTAATTACACTTTCTTCTCGAACTATGAGATTTGCCACTTTTTTCCCCCCAATTAATTGAGTATTTAACATTGTTATCTCAACGGTATTTTATATTATTACCAATGGGTCTTTGGTTTAATGATATTCTTTATTTTGTAAAAATTTTATTTTCTTGTGGTTAAAGAATAAAGTCTTTTTTCCTTTTCCCCTCTTCAAAAAAATAAAGACAATATTTATCGGGGCAAGAGTGAACAAATCACATAATTTCGAGAGTAAAGTAAAAACTCTCTGTAATTGTTTTTAACAAAATTTAATCCGTTCAATATTAAATTAAAAATTATAATTTAATTTAATATATAATGTGAGAAATATAATAGTTATGACGTCATTTGCAACAGGTGCCACTTTCTCCTTAACGACCCAGCGACACGTACCCGAAACCATTTTATAGAGAACTATTCTCTCCTCCTATTGATTTCCTTCTTTCTTGGTTCATTCTCGTGGTCTCTATTGGTTTTGCGTCTTGAAGCAAAAGAAAACATGGAGGCCAAGATCGGGCAATTCTTCGAGGCAGTCACCTCCTTTTTCAGCGGCGGAGATCAGATCCCATGGTGCAATCACGACATCATCGCCGTAAGCATTCCCATTTCTCCAGTTTTTTTTTTCATTTTTGGATCTTCTGCGAAAAATTGTTTATTTTCTGATCAAGTGTACGATGTCCTTAAATTCAAACTCACGACCTTACTTGCCTTGGAATTTTGCGTCAAATGTACAAAATTAGTAAGAAGTATAAATTTGTTCAGCATTACATGATATGTTTTTTCAATCCTAAGGGTTGTAGATGACGAATTGGATTGCTTATGAAGTTTCTCTTTTCTGATAATACTACATACATTTTTTACAGCATATCTAATAGGAATTTCGCCTGAATTTTGGGTCAAATGTACAAAATTTGTAAGTATAAATTTATTCAGCATTAAATGATATGTTTTTTTAAGGCTTTTTCAAAACTAGTAGTTGTAGATGACGAATTGGATTGCTTATGAAGTTTTCCTGTTCACTACATACATTTTTTTTACAGTATATCTAACAGGAATTGCATGAGTCACCTGTTCTTTACTTTGCTTTCTATTTTGTTATATTACTTGCTCTTGGTCCCTCAGGTATTTCGGGTTCTATAATTTTGAGCTTGTGAAAGGTTGAGCTCAGTCTCGTGGCTTTTGAGTCAATTTGGATTTTCTTCTGAATTTATCATGTTTGTGTTCATGGATGCCATGTTATATTATATCAATCATTTATTAGGAAAAGGAAATTGACAGGATATTGTGCAGAATGGATGTGGCAGAGAAGGGCTTCTGCAGTACTATGGTATGATGGAGTTCCTGCTAATTTCAGGGGAAGCTCTATAATACCGTTGAAAGAGAGTGCGTGCATTATATGATACAAGATAGTGGGGAATTAAAATATTATTAACCATGAACACCGCCCAACCAAGGATGCAAGGAGTACATGAAATATTAAATAGGAATTTGGATGTGGCTCTAATTGAGGATAAAAAAGCGGAAAGTCCTTGAGAAGGTTAAAGTCATTCGTGGTGTGGTCTAACTAAAAAACAGGTAAAGATGTGAGAAAATTGGTTGAAGTTGAGAGTGCCAAAGTATCAGAGCATGAATCAAAGAATGTAGGTTGAGGCCCTGAGAAACGGCATGATGGCCTTGAAGGAGCAGGGAGTATGGCTCTACAAAAAACCGGTTGGAAAAGATTCATTTAACATATCCCAAGGAGTGGTGATTTGGATTGTTGGTGTCAGTTGAGCTAAAACATAAAAATTACCAAGTTGCTATTGATGTACTGAATCTGCTGCTATTGATCAATTCATGTCACAGTTGAAATTGTCCTTTCATCAGTTGGAAAAAAAAAAGGCACATGCATTCAAGTATTTCTCTTCCATGCTTTGATGTGGGACCTTAATCTTTTGTTTATTGGCAGGGCTGTGAAAGAGAAGTTGCTGACACTGCGAATGGTGTCTCAGATGAACGTAAGAATGAAAGCATTATGCGGCTATCCTGGGCTTTGGTTCATTCTAGACAACCGGAAGATGTGCAGCATGGGATAGGTATGCTTGAAGGTAGGATAAATCCATTCAACACTGAAATGTTTTTCTTTCCTTGTAATGACTATCTAGTTTAATTTGGTTCACATTTTCTAGTCCCCAGTTTGTGAAATCCTTGTGGATAAATTTCACCATTAAAGATGACATATTATTCAACATCCATTTTACTCTATTCTGATGTGATTGATCATTCTTGAGGTGTCATTCCTTCCATCTTTGATGACTGTTCCTTATTTTGTAACACTTCCAAAAAACTATGATTTGAATTCATTCTGATCATCATTGATTGGTTGAGATGGTTTTCCATCATTCTAGAAATCCATCTGTAAAGTGTAGTAATCAATTTAATGAAACTCTTATCAAACCATTGGTGCGGTCTATCTAGCTTTTATTCCAAGTTGGTTATTTCTTATCTCTATACTTCAGCTTGAGAGTGCTAATTCCAAGTTGGTTAAGAGTGCTAATTTCTTATTATTCTACTTCTCTGTTATGTTACTTTCCTATTGTTCTACTTTCTTAATATGTCGTTTTCCTGTTATACTCTATTTTCCTAATATTGGAATTTTTTTCAACATCAACCTAATATAAATAGATGATATAGGCAATACACTTCCTAAATAACAACATATTTCTTCATCTCTTTTCTTCTCTTTCTTTCCCTAAACCCTAATATTCAGTTATTTAAGTTTCAAATGAAATTATTCAAGAACATTTGTTTTTGATCATCCACTAAAAGGTTTAGCAATTAGGTTATGTTTATACTCATTTCGAAACATCCACAAGCCTTCCATAACCAAACATGAATTTTTCTATCATTTCTCTCTCATGCTTGATTATATTATTTGCCAATATGATAATTCCTATATCTTTGTTTTTTGGAACCTTAGTTTGATGTTCCTATTTTTCATTAGTGCACTTCAACATTTTTATCTTGGCTATTCTTATAGAAATCAGCAGTGTCTTTTTGAGACAACTGCTCAAGAATTAGACATACATGTATGTATGTAAGTTCTATAGATGATGATAATTTCCAAAGACATGGACATGGAAGTACTGTGTAGTGCTATGAAGTTTTGTAAGGTAACCTATCATTTCCATCTCAACCCGGTTGTTTGTCTATGTGTTTAAAGTGTAAAGGAAAAAAAATGAAAAATTAATGCATCATTGTCTTACTAAAAATTTATTCTACTTTTTGGCCGCTAATTTTTTGACAAAGAAAATCCTCAAAACTTTAGGGCATGCGTCCACTATTTTTTCAGCGAATATTATTTTATCAGATGCCCGATAGTTTGTTTATCCTAATCAATTGGAACTTGCCCATGAGGGAATAGGGAAAATGATAAGAACAGACTATAGTTTTCCCATTATGTAAACATTTTGTGATTGACAGCGTATCATTTTTATTGGCTTTTGATTATCAACCAACTCTCGGTATAATTGCTCGCTTATCTGGCTTCAAGTTCTAGCTTTTTTTGGGGCTTCAGTTTCTGGTGATAGAAGCTAGGAAATTCGTTGGACTTTCTAGTATTTGTTCCATACTTTTGCAATTTTCAGTTGTTTAACTTCATGATTATTATGTTAAACTTCTACCCTTGTTAGCACCTGAATAAGTTTTCATTGGCAGCTTCGTTAGCCAATACCAACAGTCCGTTGCAAAAGAGAGAGAAGCTATATCTTCTGGCTGTTGGCTATTACAGAAGTGGTGAATATTCAAGGAGTAGGCTTCTCTTAGAACAATGTTTGGAGGTTTGTTCTCTTTTCCCGTTTCGATTTTGTGGTTTGTTGTATCCCGTAATTAGTGGGCACCTTTTCACCTTGAAGAACTACTGCTCCATGTCAACTTCCAACCTTGTCATATATATCAGTAACCATAGTAATCCAAGAAATCTGGTAGCTGCATGGTCAAAAGAAGAAAAGGGAGAGAGATCATGCCTAACTGAAGATGATGACACACAAAGTGCCTATCAAAAGGCTGCATAATTTTATTTCCATCCGGTTCTATTGTTCTGCTAATGTTTTATTAACCAAGAAATTTGTTACCACCCATCTATTGCCTCTTTTCTATTGGTATAATATAGTTTACGTCGAGTTTTGAATGTGTCTTCTAGTTTATTACGTTTTCTTGTTTGACCAGTAAAATTCTTGAATCTTTCTTTTCTCTTTGTTTTCTATGTGCAATAGATTGCACCTGATTGGAGGCAGGCTTTGTCCCTTAAAACGACTGTTGAAGATCGAATTACTAAAGGTAGTGACTAAAAATTTCTTTGATTTTTTGTTTCAACATATCATCAGACCAAGGTTAATGCAAGCCGTTTGATGGATTGCAGACGGTGTTATCGGAATCGGCATTAGCGCTACTGTTGTAGGACTTATTGCTGGCGGGATTGCTGCAGCATTGGCCCGAAAGAATTGATCACCTTGATCCGAAATATGTGCAGTTGAAATGTTCTCCTTCGGCAGTTATTTTAAGAAAGGGGCATCACTGGTTCATTCTTACAAATTGATGATTTTATCATTTATTTGGTGACTCAAATTTCATATATATGAGAATTACTTCATACAAATAATGCTCAAGGCAAGGATTAAAATTTTGTTTCTTTGCATAGCTTTGGTGAGCTTAGAAATGAAAACATTTTAGTAATGTTGAAAAAATATTTTGGAAACAAGATTAAAACAGAGGAAAATGTTAAAATTTTGTTTTTGAAACATTGGTGAGAATAATCGAAACATTTTGAAACATAAGTCGAAACATATTAAAATATCTTGAAATACATTGAAATATCTCAAAATACATTGAAATACCTTGAAACATAAAAAAAAGAAATAGACTTCCCCATATTTGGAAGTACGTTTTTGGAATATCTATGAAGAGAAGAATAGATTCCTGACATGTATTCTTGAGTTAATTTTAACTTTCTAATCTCTAGATAAGGTAATTTTGATTTTGACTCCCTACAGCTTGTTTTGAATGCTCCAGGCTGTGTTAACAGAGGTTGCAAAGGAAATGGAATTGGTCCTTTTTATCACTCAATTTTTTTATTGTTATCCTTTCATAAGTGGAAGTACCCACCTACCGAAAAAATAAAAGAAGTGGGCAAGGCTACATTATCGAATAAGGAATGATATCGGAGGTTAGAACTAAATAAAGATTAGTTATAACTCATTTGGGTCAAGTTACTATTCAATGAGTTATAACACTTTTCTTTAGTACAGTGGTAAAAACACCTACAATAATAATAAAAATACCTATAAATATAGTAAATATCAATAAGGTACTGATTTTTTTTTTATGTCGGTACTGTAGACAACTTCCGCATGAGAAAGGCTAGAACTTGCACTCCAATGATTCATTCAACAAAAGAAGTTTTATGCTTAAAGTATCCATTGTCCAACAATTTAATTTGCTTTCACTTCCCAGAGAAGGGAAGCTGCTCTCCACGGAAAATGCCTTCTGCACCCGCAACATGAAATGCAAAAGAAGCCGAAATGAGGGAGGGAGGGGGGGGGGGGGGGGGGGGGGGAGTGGTTCACCTATCAGCCAAATTCTCAACTATGCCTGAACCAATAAATTTTAAAAAATTACTTCTTAATGCATTTCTGAAACAACTTGTAATTGTCCGAATTCATACAGAATCCCTGTCACCTTTAAAGTCGTCCGCCACATCTATACAAACATCAACATGATAAACCTAACAGAGAAGCATTGATATGAAACGCCATCATTGGCAGAAATCAATTCAAACAGAAACATGCCCTTTAATTTTTCAACAGCGAGGAACAAAGATATACTCAAGAAGGCAGCAATAGTCTCATGAAAAAAAAAACTAAGAACATGCCTGAATGTCACTCCGTAGTGGCAAGAGCTGATTGCAATACATCTTCAAGGTACTTCTCAGCAGCAGCATACTGCCTCTTTTTGTCCTCAATTGCCAGTGCAGCCAAAGCTTTATCCTGCGTAAACATGAGACTCGACATCAAATTCCCCAAAAATGTATGTAGAACATACATAATCCCATGGTTCAATTTATTGGAAAAATGAAATTACAGGAGGCAAGTCTTGGTAGCTTCTCAAAGTATCAAGGATGGGCTTTGTTTTCTTTTCCAATTCCTTCCTGTGCTCTGCCATTTCAACCAAAACTCCGTGACTAATATCTGGCGTGTAGCCCGCGCGATTGAGCATTGCCTGCTCCCAAAGAATTCGTGGTTAATATATCATGCACATCACAATTTCAAAGACTTGATCCTGATCCAAAATTATATAACAATATGGTTGAAGCAACAACATCCGGGGAACATAGTACTACTCACGTGCTTCATAATGTGTTACCCCTGCTAAAACGAAATTTATGTATTATCTTGATCATTTTCTATGGCTATGGCTGGAAAATGTTTTCCCCAAGTGATAAAGTCCAAGCCACAAGGAAATAATCATATGCAAACTAACCGACTTTAGTAAAAAATATACAAAGAAAAAGACTACAGTGATCCCAATGAGTATGGAAATTGTGTACGACCATATAGTTGAGTTTCAATAACAGGAACTGCTAGCTAAATAAGTGAAGTAATAGAAACCCAAAATTATACTTTTCAAGCATGTCAGAAACATCAGAAATCTACATTTCACAATGCTCCTGGATTATTTGTGATTTTGAAGAAAGGATGCCAACTAAAGTGAAATGAAAGTATGCAGCTTTGTCCATAGATGGAACCACAATAAACTAGCTTAATCACACTGAACCCCATAGCAAAAACCTAGTCATGAAATGGAAGATTCAGAAAAAGAAAAGATAACAACCCCCCCCCCCTCTCCCTCTCCCTCTCTCTCTCTCTCTCTCTCTCCAAAAAAACAACAAAAAAAAGGGGCAAGCAGCTAACTCTGGACGAAAAACTTCCACTGCCTTACGAACATATGAATAAAGGAGAAATCCATCCATACTGACCAATAGTTGGGGTCTCTGGTCAAAAATTTTCCTAGAAAACACAAATCCTGTTTTAAGTAGATCAATGAAGTTCAAGGCCACAAACTATCTGAACTGCAAAATGCTGCAGCTATGTCACTGCAAGAGCAAGAGTCATAAACCACTGACATGTGTCTCTTTGTGAAAAACTGCCCAAAATGTCTTGTAACCCAACTTTTAAGTTAGCAAAGCAGAGCAATAAGTGAAGCTGCAAAAATTAGCATGTTCAAACACAGCCAGATCCTCCCCCCCCCCCCCCCCCCTCTCCAATAAAATACTCTGAGAATCTACAGACATCCAAACATAAAATAAACCAGTCGTGCACAATGACATTGTCCAGGCAATTCCACAGCTTCAGATTATAAATTCCTTAGACCAACCTATAGATACAAGAAGCATTCGCAAAGATTAAATTTATCAGATATCTTTCTACAACCTTGTTTCCCTCCACAAGTGTCTTCCAACATATAACCATGAGGAAGGAGAATGATTTGCACATCCGATTAATTCTGTGAAGTAGTGTATTTGGAACCACCCGCGCAGTGACATAAATCAAATAAAACATATAGATACAGACAAACATAAAAATAAACATATACACACGAGGGGGAGAGAGGGAATCAGAGAGAGAACCTAGAAAGGATCAAAGGACAATTAATTAATTCTCAACTTTAACATACAAAACAACAGGCATTAATGACACCATATTCTTGCAAAATCACAAACTGCCTCAAATCAAATCCTAACACAAACTATGTGCTACCACCCATCAATTAAACAGGACATGAGATGAATCCTAACACCAATGCTAATTGTGCAGCATATCTTCAGAAAAACAAAACAGGTGATACATATAAAAGCATGCTGATCAATGGGTAAAAAAATCAAATTTAAGTAGTTGAAAACAAGTAGCCTCTAATCTACAAGATAACGCTGGAACCAAGGGATGGAACCTTATAGTTCGAATATTGTTGCAGGTATTGACGCTCTTTTGAAACCATAATCTTCAAGTTTGTCTTCCAGCTTTCCATTTGAGCCTCACAAGGAGCTACATCATCTTCCAGTTGCGCAAGTGTTCTATCAACAACAGATTAAATCAATAGATAAATATGAACACTTTATTCATGAAACCTAATACTCTTAATCTAATTCTACTTTTAATGTATAAATAACATAACATTATCAAGAAGCAAAATTAAAAGGTATATATAAAAACCTAAAACTTGCACTTAGTGGGTTTACTTTTTCAAATAGGTCAGCCTTGCTATGGCCTTTCGAGTGTAATCAAGAAGAACTTTAGACTCCTTCTGTACTTTGGCCCTCTTTTCTTCAACTCCAGTCTTTCTTAGAGAAATATCCGCCATTGCTACAAGAAAACTAAAACGTTTTCCTTGTAGTAAGACAGTAGAAACAAAAGGAAGAATTAAAGGATAATGGAAAATAGAGAGCAAGGGCCACCCACCTACTAAGTTCAGTATCTCTAATATTCAATAAGTTTGCCACATTGGCAAGAACTTGTGCCGATCCAACCACATTTGGTGGTAGACTCTCTTGTGCCAATCCCACATGCTCCAATATCTCTCTAATCCTTGCAGCTACAATTCAAAAATGTTGGAATCATTGTCATATGAGACTTGACATAAGGATGAGTACAATAACAAATAAAGTCCAAACAATATCCAATTCAATAACCTTGGGAACGATACTCAGATGCTTTCTGGCGGAAGTCGTTCGCAACAATGCCAGCGGCTTGAGTTTTTGCTTGGGAGATGGTGGAAAGGTTATGTAAATGAGCAATGCTTCGAGGAGTAGACTCAAAATCAGGGACATCTTTTCCAGCTGCATCAAATTGAGATACAAGCCATGCTTTAACTTCTGCAATACGACTGGCATCAAAGCCAGTATTTGCGTCTGTTGAAGGATCAGATCCAGCAATTACTTCACTCATCATAATTTGTCCTTGTTTGCAGTTGGAATCTTTGGCCAAATATGCAAGAAGGGAAGAGTTCATCATGCACATGTTATTGTAGGATGAACTTACTGAAGTAAGTATTTTACTATCTCACTGTTTAGATAGAATACATGGTGTATAGCACTTCCTGTGTTATATTTTTTTTATTGATGTGGTGACAGATAGAACTTGGCTAGTAACTGTGCAGTTGGTTTTGTAGATATAGTATTTTCAATAACTCATAAGTATCAACGACATAATGATACGGAGTTTTTTGTTTTGGAAGAGAACAGCTAGAGTATGCAGATAGGAGTTATGTTTAAACAAAATGCATTCATTGTCTCTACCAATATCCAGCTTTAAAATCGATAACTATTCAAGATTAAAATCCCTAAACACATAGGAATTTTAAATTTGTTTTGGAGGGTGGGGGAATTTTTTTTTTTTTTGCTGCGGTTTGTGGAATGGAAAGCAGAGAAATATTTCTATGATTCTTGAATGACTTTCTGTCAATTCCAAGTTTTATGCAGTTATTCAGACATATATTGATGTGGTGACTGATTTGTAGATGTAGTTTTCGCAAAAACTCATCCTTATAAACTACATAAAATTATACACTCAGTTTTTTGTATTGGAAGAAAATAGCTAGAGTATGCAAATAGGAGTGATGCTAAAAGATTATAAGCAGATATTAATTATTTTTTCAACAAGAGATGTTTAAAAAATGAACAACATTTGGAAATGTATCAAATCGAAACAAAATGCAACGCATCTTCATCTTAATGAAAGAAATTAATCAAACCAACAAACATGGCCGGCTCAACAGTAGAGTCAGAAAAGCATACATGCCCTACATATTAAAAAGGCTCGATTCAATAATGAGATATAGATCAAAGATCCCGAAACTCTCATCATATAATTTCAATTTCAGAAAAACAAAGGAATTAAGTCTCACACAGAGACTGTCAGACAAAGAGTTACATAGGAGAGAGAGAGAGAACCTGGGATGCTTGTGGCTTCGAAGAGGAAGCGGCGAAAGAGGCGAGAGTCTCTGAGAGTCGAAGAGGAGGAGGCGCTAGGGATCGATCGACTGAGAGTAGCAGAAAGAGGCGAAAGTCTCTCAGACTCGAGTGAGAACGGGGGCCGGCGTGTAGGATTTGGTTGGTGCCTATGGTCGGAGTCTCGGAGATAATATTCAAGGCAATGTTTGAAGGAAGAATCGTACATTGTACCCCCAAAAGATTCTAAAATTTTCAATTTGCACCCTAAAAGTTAAAGTTTCTCAAATTGCACCCAAATAAAACAAATCAGTTGCAATCCAGCCCAATTGCTAACTCCGTCCAACTTGCCGACCCTTTTTGTCCCATCTGCTTTGCACGTGCAGCCAGGAAGGGGCTAATTGTTAAGGGTTAATTACAAATTACCCCTTCAAGTTTGGCCATATCACAATTAACTCTCTTTGTTTCAATTTAAACAAATTGCCCCTCAAAGTTTAAAGATTTTACAATTAACTCCTCCATTACTTTTCAGCCGTTAGAAATGACAAAAATTAGTCACCTGCAATTCTAGTGATCTCTGGTTTACTAAAATTACAAAATTAAAAGTGCTTTGATTTTTTTTTTCCCTCTACATAAAAAATTTCCAATCTCCTACCTTCATCAATGCCTAATTCTTCTCCCCCATCCCTTTTTCTCCCTTCGGCGAATACCCAATCTCCCTCCAATAACCTCACTAATGAAACCCCCTCACAAATCTCTCTCTCTCCCTCCCTCCCTGTAGGAAACCCTTGCGAAAAATAACAAACTCACTACCCCGATGCAACTCCATTAGCCACAGCCAATCTCATACCTATGAGTCGCCGCTGCTCCCCTATAAACACCGTAATCTCACTATCACCACACCCTATGCCAAGACCCATTGTGCGGGAAAATTTTTGCATAATAGTTGAAATGAGAATAGATCTCTCTCACAATGAGACTTGACTCGTCGAAGCAGTGGATTTAGTAACAGAGAATGGGTTTGAGAGGGTCAAAGGGGACCTAAGGATTAGTGATGAATTATTTCTGGTGATGTCGAACCGATTCCGGTGGTTCGCGAGGAATTCCTGGAACACAGAAAATTGGTTAGAAAAGGTGTAGGAGTGTTTTTCGACGTATTCCTCTCCGACGATCAAGTCAGTTCTTTGAGAGAAGAGAAGGAGAAAATACTGTTTGTATAACACCCCAACTCAAGATACAATATCTGTAATCCCTGTTTATTTCTGTCATACACCTTTCTTTATGTAAAAATAAGCATATAAAAAAAAAATCACCAAACCCCTTAATGGTACAACTTGCCATGAGTCCTGTTTATTTACAAACCGTAATATTGATCTCAAGAACATGACATAGAATAATAAAATTTAAATTTAAGGGACATATAAAAATGAAACCCATGATGACATCTCAATCGACCCTCTAGACTCGGCAGTGGACTCCTCACGTTGCTATGGTTTTTCCTGAAAAGTCATTAAGACCATTAGTAAAAGCAAAGATGTAATTAATATTTAAGAGCACAACAAGTGATAAAAGAAACTTTCTTTATTTAGGAACAACCTTAACCAATAATTAGATACTTACTTTCACATAATTAAGTTATTCCTCATAATGACTACCCCACATGCAAACAAATTAATCGTCTTGTAAACAACAACCGCCACACAGACTATATTTAGTTATGCAAATTCTTGGGGCACATAGGCCACATGTATCGTCAGTTTGTATCACCTCATAGATATCATTTATCAGTAGGACAACTCAAACCACATTAATGATTTTCTTTCAGATGACCCATATCATAGAGAGTTTTTTGATCATGTTACTTAGACAACTCCACCACATAATCAAATCTCGTCACATAAACAATTCAAGCCATATAAATACTTCATGTTACTTAGACCACTGAAATCACATAATCCTCTCTCATCATTTAAAAGACTCTCGTAATGTACCGTGTGTCCCCGATCAATTAATTATTCCCAACAATAACCATAGTAAAAACATATGTTTAAAAGTCAAATAAATTATCACAAAAAGTTATAAAGTAGTGCACCTACCTCAAGTAAAAATCTACATCGATGTCGATTCCTTCTGCCAGGTCCTTTAGCGAGACGTTCCTTGATGTAGATATTTCTAAACCTATCACACATATAATTATAATTGCGTTCCAGTATTTTACATGTATCTGTTAATGTCCTCAATACTTAATTTATATGTGTATACTCACACTTACTCCAACATAATTTATATGTTATAAGACCTGATCAATCTCTTTCCTAAGCTCAAGTGGATCACTATCAATATTTTAAGTGTTTAAATTATTTTTACGTTAATTATATAAAGAGGCTAACTTCACTATTATAGAGTAATTTCCTAACGTGAAATAAATCATCATATGTTCTACAAATCCTTGATAATTGCCTTAAAATCTCAATTAAAATAATCAACTCGAACCAATTGACATAATCTACTTAAAATAATCTACTCGCCTAGAGTATAACAATCTATTCAACCAGGTAAATTAATCAATTCGATTCGATTAAATATATCTACTCATTCCAAATAAAATAATATACTCAACCCAAATTTTCCTACAACATAAAATTCATTAATTTTAGAGATTATCCAATAATATTTCTTTTTACCAGAATTCCGTTGAAATTTTTGACTGCATAACTAACAATTCAACACTCCAGTGAATTAAAATCACTCATACACTATTATAGTTTAATCCTATGAAATGCATAGTTTAAAAATTATTCTTGCATTTAATTTATTCCCATATAGCTATGAAAATGTAACAAAAGACACGCTATTTCTTACCTTACATGGGGATGCATATCCAAACCCCCAAATTTTCCAACATTGAATTTTTTTTCCAACCCTTTCTTTTGCTTCTTCTTTTCCCTTCCTTCTTCTCCAGGCCAAAACCTTGTCTTCCTCTCTTAGCCGAGACTTCTAAGTGTAAAGGAAGTCTTGGCTTTTGTTGTTGTTGTTTTTTTTTTTCTTCTCTCCTTTTATTTATTTATTTATTTTTTGTTCATCCCCTTTTTATAATTTTTTTCCAAGACTTGGTTGGTGTGCCCACTCCTCTCTCTTAGCCGCCAATTTCTTCTCCCTCCTAATGCCATCCACAAGTCTATTTTAAGTCGAGTGTCCATCATCATTGCATACACTGTCCATCATCCATAAGTCTATACACTATACTGCATTATAGTCCCTGCATGTGTGTATATATATAATATATTGCACCTTAGTCCTTGCATGTGTCTTTATATATCATATATTGCACCATAGTCCTTTGCATCTGTCTTTATATAAGCACATTCAAGGTATATATTAAATCATATTGGTAGTCTTTAATCCACCTATTGTATACACTGACATATATTTGTAGTAATGTGTTGGTATCACATGCTAGCCACCCCCACTTAATCACATGTGCGCTAACATACTTCAAATAATTTTATTATGTCATATGTAACATATCCATTTAATTTTTTACATCTAATTAATATTCCCTTTTTATTTATCAGTTCGCCATCATGCACGTTCATATCACATGCAAACATGCTTGTAATAATATTTTGTATGATCGTCATACATGTTTGGGTCTTACAGTTTGTGGCTCTTGAGAGGAGATTTTTCGTACCTAAGCAATGTGTTTCTGAAGGCTATTTATATCTTCAAAGGATAATCATTACTGATAGTCTAGTCAGTAGGTATTCTTTAGAGATGGGACAGTGTCCCCCATACTTTTCATGGGGAATGCTCCCATCTTAATTGTTCGCACTATTGGACATTCAATGCTCTTTCTCCAATGTTGAGGAATTGAATGCTCAGATTCCAGAGTGTTTAATACCTCCCCTTCTTGGCTTATCAAGCCATGCTAGATGTCTTATCAACTGATAATGCATCAAATACCTGTCTCCGTTAGCCGCATATCAATAGGGATAGTTTTGTCTTTTTACCACCCATTCTATACTTTGTGCCACGCGTCTGACTCTCTTTGACTAAACGTTTAATTCATCCAATCATACTGACTTCATCATGCAGAGTGTCATCATAATTGCCTGCCTAGCTTTGTTTCAGTCATTATTCACTGATTTCCTAAGGAACCAATGACTTAGCGATTGATGACATGGTTCCTCGGACCCGAGGGAACTCCTCGAGGCCGATGGAGATACAAGAGCCAATCCGTCAGAGCAGAGGGAAGGCTGAGGCCGAGGACATGTGGACTCACCAAATTGAGGCAAGGATAGGCCCTCGGGGTGGAGGACACGTGTCATCACACCAGCACCCTTTTAGAAATGTCCCATCCACTGCCCCCCAGCCCTTTGATCTTCATACGGAGAGGTCACGTGTTGTCGGAAGATGGAAGGGTTTGTAACTATCTCAATCATTTCATCATTACTTCAGTCATTTTTCATCGTTTAGGGGACGTGCGCATTAAATGCGCCCTTTCGTGCTTCGTGCACAATGATGAGGCCTAGGGAACCTATATAAACAGAACCCCCTCTCCCTTTTTTCATTTTTCGACACCATAAGCTTTCCTCAGAGGTTTTATTGCGGGAGAACTGTCAGAGCTTTACTGCCTGAAAAACTCCTGTCATCTTTCCCAGCCATCACCAGAGAAGAAGAAGGAGAAAAAACATTCCTAAGCTTCTTCAATCTTTTGGTCATCCTTCCCCGTAGTCACTCGTGAGTCTTCGTCCCTTTTCTTTTTTGGTTTTTTCCGGTGAGTAGCATCCTTCTAGGCTCCCTATCGTTTTCATTCTTGAAAAACCAGGCCCCAAAGTAGGCCTTTAGACTTCTCCTTCATCGTTTCGCATTCCTTAGCGTCCCTTAGGATTCCCTTGTGTGTTTTAAGGGAAAAACCCTCTTGACTTGACCTTCTTCCTGTTCGAGATGCCGAGACGTCAACCTGTGACTAAGGCCTAGGGAGCTGGGACCTCAAGGCCGAGAAAATAGACAGTTAAGAGTGCCCAACAAATAGTAAACTTCAAAGCCCATTATGACATCCCTCGTGATGTTATCATAGTCGATTTTGACCCAGCCCGACATCTTCCCAACGTCGACGCCGAGGATGCTATGCCTTTTTATACCAAGATGATCATGG